GGAAACAACGGCAAAGGGACGAACAGACGTAGCTCTTCGATTCCAGGAGGGGTCTTCCGGGAAGGTCTTCATCATACGGAACGAAGAACATGCAATGATGATATTGAATGAGAGATAATTATCCCAAATCCCGTATATAAAGAACCATCTCTAACAAAAAATATTTTCCGGTCTAAGGAAGCGAGAGTACAACGAACTCCCCGTATGACGAACCTCGCTTACGGCGGAATTTCCGTATGGATAACTTTTCGGACAAGGAACCTCGCGTGTGAAAAACTTGACGCGTAGCTAACCCCGAGGCACCTCGCATCTTAGAAACTCCGTGTGATTCATCTGCGCCCAGGGTTAATCTGTAGCTCTTCCACCACCTGTAGAAATCTCTGAAGGAGCACCGCCTTTTGCGCAAGTATGGTGCTTCAGAGGAATCGCGTTCAACTCTGGCTCCGGCTGGTAATGGAGGAGAAGGCTGTGGAATCTGTGGAACCGATGTATCGAGCTGGACGTCCCCAAGGATGAAGGAATCCGAAGCAACGGAGTCAGCGAGCTCCGGGTCTAGAATCAGGTGTATACCCGGAATTCCGCGACTTCTTGAGCTTTTTCACGAGGAATCCCGAGACGGAAACGATACGGGCAGCCTCTCTTCGAACCGTCCCACGAATAAACCGGACCACCAATAGAATTGGATTTCAGAGCTCTCGCTGAAGATACTCAATCAAAATTAATCAATTCATTCTCTGTCACAGGGATCGGAAACTTCTCAGGATCAGGACATAAACTGCGAGACACGTGATCGAAGACTGAATCCGAACGAACTCCGTCCGAATGGATATCTCTTTATCGTCAATACACCCTACTCAGCTGTCGATCTCACGATGCTCTCCTCACTGACAATGTGGAATACTTGAATCATCGCGGTCACGGTGCATCACTCGCTGCCGAGCGATACTGACTAGAAACGCTCATACGAGGGGTTCCTCGTACGGAATTTTATTCTTGGGAGGGCTTCGTGAGGTACATGAAAACTTCTCTAGTACGGGGGGGGGTTCGCTTAACGCGAGGTTCCTTGTGCAAAACGTTCGTTTCAAGGAAAATTCGGTATGCGGGAATTTCGCTATACGGGGAGTTAGTTATACGCCAAGCTCCTCATACGCGTGATATTCTTGAGGTTAAGTACTGTAAATCGCGCGTGATCGAAGCTTCTCTCGAACCTTGCATAATTGATGTATTCGGCTCGTTTCTAATGGGGAACGGAGGAAATGCAAGGACGATTTGTGACTACACGCAATAATGACAACAATTGATGATAACGATGGCGACGGATGCTTTGAACGGAGACCGCCAGCGGAGTCTCCGAGGCCAGAGAAAGATCTGCTACCACGGCTGAAGTTTTACTCCACATCCGGAGCATGGTTGACCACTACTTTCGAGGTCAAATGTGGGTATTTTGAGAATTATCGATCGAGAGGCAAAACACGGCGAGGAACAGGGGTACTCGCATACTGCAGGAGCCTCCTGCGCTCACAGCGTTCCGTTTGCTGCGAACTCCGCGAGAAGGAAGTGTGGAAGACGGCACAAAGACGAGGAGGACGAAAAGGAACGAAGAGGTTCTATAGAAGGAACGAAAACGGTTTCGGACACCTCAAGCTCGCTTGAGGGGCCGCTGTGCCACTGTCGTTCCACAAGGGCTTAAGGTGATTGTGGTGGGTTTTCGGAATATGGAAAGGCAGATTATAATTTATGATGTCGGAATTTGCTTTCGAGCAGCCCTCTCTGAGAGACGGACGGTTCCTCGGCAGAGACATTTGTCTTTCCAACGATAATTCCCGGGGGTCCTCTCATACGGGGCGACTCATCCTTGACAGGGGCTCTCATTCCTAATAGTACAAATATACATCAATTTGTTGAGCGTGATGTGTGATATATCTGCATATCGAGTGGAGGAGAGGGACCAGAGTTCGGCGCGTGATATCCCCTGATTCTCCGGGATCGGTCTCCCAGCGTCTCGTGGTTCGTAGTGGATCCGGGGCGTCGCGGGAAGGGGTGCTGAGGACGGTGCCGGTCGAGCATTTGCCACCGAGTGATACCGCTCAGCTGCGATTTCGTTACCATAGCAAGCAGAGCTCTGGGGAATTAGGCCTAGGGAGAGGATAAAACGACGTTTTCTCGGATGTCCTCACGGATGGTGAGCGCTCTCACTGTACCGAGGTGAGCACAATATTCCAACTAAATGGTCTTCCAATTGTATTATATGGGCTCGGTTCCTGTCATCAAGCCTCCCGACAAGGATAGGGGTAAATAACTTATTATAATCGCATCCATCGGCCATCAAAGCGAAGCGACAGGCGCTCAATTGAGATCCGGAGCTTGAGTGTCGGGGAAAGCATGGATCGATCCGCCAGGAACGGGATCTCTCCGAGACTTGGTGGATTGAGTCCATGATCTTCGGGTACGACAACTCGATCTGCGCTGCCGCGACGTGTGGAGTCGCGAGAGAGGCTCTGGCCGGATCTGCGCACGTCTAGCATCGAATGGGGACGAAATACAAAGCCCTACGAACATTTCCCCCTCGCAGATGCGTGCATTATACATTAGGGTCTTGCGAGTCATTAGTCGCACTAACAAGTTTCTCGCGCTCTCTGCTCCCCATCAATGCTCCCTGTTCTTTTCGCCACTGAACTTAGAATTCGGAAGGCGTCGAGAAGAGGGAGCTGAAGAGGTTAGATTCTCCAATGCAACTGCGAAAATTTTGCTAAATAGGCGAGGAAACAGCCTCCTCAAAACCTGGCGGGAAATGGTGACTCATTATCTGAGCAGAAGTCAATTTCCGGGGCCGGTCCGGAAAATCGTGGTGTGCGATCTGTAGTCCTTCTCTGGACTGCCTTAACCAGCAGCTCGTCGCTCTTCAAGAGAATCATCTCCGAATCAAAATGCGTAAGATGATGTCCGGGGGCCCAGACTGAATTTCTCCCCGGAATCGGAAGAGCTCTCGACGGCCGTAGCAGGAGGTTCGTCGAAACCTGACGGTGATAAAAGCCCACTTGAAAGCGGAAGGTCGTCGGCGCATATCTTCCCAGGGGACTTGGAGCCGAATGGCTACCCGGATGCCAGACAGAGCAAAGTCGGGCATAAGATTGAGGCTCATCCCTCATCTCTTACCGTCTCTCTCATGTTATACGACTTTTCCAAAAATGAGCCCCGGCACGTTGCCCACGCCACCTTGGCGACTGCACGGTTCTATCCTATAATCAGCCCCCGATCGGAGGAGCGGAAATACGCATGAACGCCGAGGCGTTGGTGCGCACCTTATTGTTCACCCTAAGAAAAACGAAGTCCGCACGAAGCTCGGTCAGCGCATGAAACGCGAAACCTCTCGAGGGCTTGGAAACTCAGCGTGCGGAAGTTCTGTCGGAATCTTGAGGGGGAATGTTGCGCGGTTTTCTTGCCATTCTTCTAACATAAGTGAACGCATGATGATGGGAAAAATGCTCTTGACGGTCTTCAGGCCTCCTCTAGGAGAATCGGAAATATGCGTTATGCACAAAACGTGCGGGAACCTCTGTTATTCGACGGGCCGCGGTCCTTGTCCGGGGAAGGAGCGGCTTCGGCCGCTGAGCCTGGGATAGCACGGGATTCCGAGCACGCGTTGTAGAAATGTTGATACTCGTGCATCTTAAGAGACTGTAGAACCTTCAGGCGATTCCACTTATTCGACTCCGGAAGATTGCCCGGTCTCCGTCCCTCCCACCGATGGAGAACTCATGAGTCATGAGCTCCTAAGCTATTTTCGAACACGGGGAGAGCTGGTGGAGCTTGAGCTGTGATTCGCGGCTTTTCTAATAATGCGATTCCGAACGATATCGAGCCACACTAGCGATTGGTAAATGTTGCCGCATCCGTACGCTGAGCCAAACGGACAGACGAAAGATAAGCCCGGCTTCCATTTGCCGTGTCTCCGTAGATAACGGACTTATAGCACTGACCAGGACCGTCCGCGTTCTCTCCCGGGTGTATCAATCGACTGTGTCCAGATCAGATCTTTTCTATAAAAGACTCGAAAGGAGAGACACGCATCGCCCAAGACACAGTGGGAAAACTCCCCAATAGCGAGTTCCTTTCTGATTGTCTCGCTCATCCTCGCTCACCCTCAATTTCTTTTTCCTGTGTCGTTCCGGCGCGGCGGTACAATGCACCGGTAGGTCCATATTCTCTCCCTCTCTGATGTTATCATTTCTAACCTACCGTCCCTCTCTCCGCTCTCTCCTTTTTTCTCCCCAGGAGGGGGCGCGTTTGTCCCCGCATTTTCGCGACTGTTGCACCGAATTGTGTCTCATCGAACTTGTTGTATCTCTATGACGTCGCCTCGGGCTTTTCTATCACGGATTCCTACGCAACGCTCAGTCAGTGGCGCGCCAGGAGCCAGGAGGAAGGGTAGCCGAGGGGGTCGTTGGAAGCAATCGAGTAGAGTACTCCGAACCCTTCGTTTTGTCCGGGAAAACTTGGAGGTTTTTATTGGAATATCCGACTTTTCTTTTCTACGCTACTCATAAACCCTTAGCACCTACTTTCCCACAACAACGGGGCTCCTCCTCTCCATCAACAACAAACACTCAAGTTCCACTCGACTTTTTTTCGATCGATCGATCGAGTCTGTAGTCTCTCCTAGGACTATGGACGAGGCATAAAAAGAAAACGAAACCATCGCAACGCGGAACCTGATCCACACGAGCCAGGTCTCGCAGTGACCTTGACTGATTGTGAGTACTTTTTTCTCCCCTCCGACATAGCGACTTGAAGGACTCAACGGTTCGGAGCGTCGACTCAACTCGATAGAAGCTCACGCGTGCTCGTCGCGCAGCTAGTGTTGACTCGAAATAATTTACATGGGGGAATCGGCGCGAACCGGTTTGAATCGGTACGACACCGACGATCCGTACGTTTCATGTTTTGAACATTCGTGTGTGCCGTATCATATATTACAGCCGTCATTCTCTCGGTTCGATCTAGTTTTCTGCAGTGACGGTGGTGCTGGCTGCAGGTCGTTTCAAGTTGGGTCGAGGTCTTCCACCGGCGAAGAGCGCTCCCCGTTGTCTCTGCCGAGCCCGAGCCGGAGCCGCCGTAGTCGCTTCCGGTGTGCCTTCCGCTGGAGTCTCATCCAACTGAAAGCGGAGAATATTCTCTATAGAGATCGAGTTCTCCACGGAGGGATTCCCCCTCAAAAAAAATCATTATAAGACTCCATCGCATTGCCCTCGATTTATTCGATGATTCATTCAAACCTTTGGCTCGACTTTTACAGCAGTCTCATCGGGCTGCGCTGCTTCCGCGGGTTTGTTTTCCTCTTCGAGCGGTGCTTCGCTTGCCGTAGGCTCTTCTTTTTTGACTGAAAGCGATAAAATTATACAATAGCAGGACGAGTCTGCGCAGATCTGTCCGAATGCGTTCATACTGAGAATGGCAGGGTACGCACTCGTGACCGGAATGGCCACCTATCTACTTTATTGTTGATCAGGACTCACTTGGCCGTCTGCCGGGTCTCGGTCGTGGACCCCGGATTCCTTGGCCTTTGCCGAACAAACCGCCGGCAGTTCCTCGAGTGGGCAGAGGTTTCCTGGGAGCAACTGTGGTCGGGGCGCTATCATCTCCCTCAGTCGGTGCCGCTGTCGTTCTCTTGGGACCTCGGGGTCTCGGTCCACCTCCAAATCTCTTCCTTCCTGGCTTGTCGCCTTCGGGCGCTGTAATGACAGCATCCTTCTGCTCGTCCTTGCCGTCCTCGCCCTCCTTAGGGGCCTCAGTGCTGGGTCTGGGTTTTCTATTAAGTCGGGACGGTCTCGTGGGTCGCGGCTTCCGTGAGGCCAAGGGTCTCCTGGATGGAGCCGACGTAGTTGTCGAGGTGGTCGACGTTCTCCGAGTTCTACCGCTCTCTCCCGATGGTCTCTGAGGCTTGCGGCGGTTTCCGAAGCCTTTTCGTCGCTCATCTGACGCAGCAGTACTTGACGTCGGAGTCTCGGTGGTGGTTGTGGTGGTGGACGAGGTCGTCGGTGAAGTTGTCGTCGAAGTCGTCGACGTTGAGGTCGAGGTCGTCGGGCTAGTTGGCGACGAATGAGACTGAGAGTGCGTTTCTGGAATGAGACGAGCCCCTGTCAGGGCAGCAATGTGATCGGGACCCGGCGCGCCGGACGAGACAGAGGTGCTGACAGAAGTGGAAGCTTGGGAGCGCGTGGGCGTCGCGGTCGAAATAGAAATCGCTTCTTTCGGGATTGCCGCAGCTGCCGCCGCTCCTGCCGCGGAAGGAGGAGCGGTGGTCGAGCTCGGGGTTCGCGGCTGGAATTTCGATTTGCTGTCTGAGTCGAAAGAATCCAGGGAATCCACGGGCTGTTCTTTGGCGGTTTCATTTTTTTTGTCGTCATCGTAGTAGTAGTAGTAGTAGACGACGTATTCCTCCTTCTTGCCATCCTTGTCTTTGGTGACGGTTTTTTGAACGACCTGGACGGGTTTCTGTCCACCCGTTTGCTGGGCTTTACCCTGATGATTACGGAGAGAGAAAAAGGTTAATTCAACTAGTCTGTGCCGCAGCTCGCTGTCTGGCCTGGTCGAACAAACCGTCGGTTCGGAAAGCGGGACACTCGCGGGCCGAGCCACGCAGGTCGGAAAAAATGCCTCAGGCGAAAACTTCACACAAAGTCTGTCCTGGGGCGACTAATACGGAAATAATTACCTGTCTATCGCTATTCTCGACTGATGACGAAACGCTCATCTGACTCTTCTGGACCTCAGCCGCCCTGGGAGCCGCAGTCGACGACGTCACGGGCAACGTGGGTGGCTGTCGAAAACAGGTTGTTGAGTTCCGAGAGAAACATTTCCCTCCACAATCCAGCCACGTTCTCAGTGAGCTCTCGAGGGAATGGCATGATTTTTTCGAGTTAGATCCCTCGGTCCTTGGAGCTCGGATCGCTTCTCGTCAGGAGAGAGAGCAGCGCAATAGTTCGACCGTATGGAAATGATTCTCTCGAAGCTTTTTGGAGACCCTCAAGAAGTTATTTTTTTTCGGATAAAAATATAATTCGTAATGAAGAATCTCATGACCGCGAGACCTTGAGTTCTCTGGCCGAGTTTTCTGTCGTGGAACTCCCTCCCACTGTGTCGAGAATGGTGTGTCTCACCTACCGCACGGCTTCGGAACAGTGACTGCACTCAAGGCAGGTTCATGTACTATGTATGTATATCGAGAGGCTCTACACCAACATGCTTCCTAAGCTGCGACCGCGTGCTTAAGCTAGCCTTGCCTACCTCCGTAGTTGTAGTGGTTGTGGTGGTTGTAGTGGTGCTCGTTGTTGTACTTGTGGTCGGAGCCTCATAGGGCTGTTGGTATGAGAAATCGTCATTTTCTTCCTCTTGAGAAGAAGATACGGATGAGGGGACTGGATGTTGAGGCAGATGCCTCTGTTGCTGTACCGGAGGCGCCGGTTGGTGGTAGTCCTGGTAGTATTGACTAGGGTACGTGTCCTGGTACTGGAACTGGGAGGGACCCCGGACCTAGAGCCAGTGTTTTCCTGATTACTTATACCATTCACGTAAGTTCACTTCTTGCGCACACCTCTCACTAATCAGGCTCTGAATCTCGAATGCTGCCCGTTCAGTATTATTGCTGCGCGTTGGACATGTACGACCCTCCCACTGCGGACCTGAGTAATTCCCCGATTTTTGAGTACAACGCTTTGTTCATGCATTCCCCTCCTCCCGACTTCGTCTTCCCTCTCTCCTCCCTCCCAGAGGACATTTTTGTGCAAAATCGAATGTTTTCGCTCGAAACGGACTTTCTCATGACAAAAATCCATCCAACGTCGTAACGGCGACTCCTTCAACGCTACCTCGTTCGTTCTCGAAGGAGTCGAAGGAGTCGAAAGCTATTTTCCAAAGCTTGTAACTATGAGGAAACTCGATACGAAAAGAGGATTCAAAATCCGATTGGTTCCGAGAATCGATGAATTCGAAAACGTTTGAGGGCGTCGAGCTTACCTGTTGGTACGGTTGCTGTGGTTGGGGCGAGTAAACTTGCTGTACGGGTTGCTGGGGCGGTAGAGCTCTGACGAAAACATTATAGTCGTCCGGACTCTGCGCACTCACAACGGCGCATAACATCAACGCAATCAGTGGCCTGGAACAGGAACATCCCCGGTCAATCTCTAATATTCATTTCCCGGATAATTCTGAAACCGTGTTGATGAATAGATCTGGCAAACAAGTGCGCAGCATTATCAGTAAGCCGATTAACCAGCCAAATGAATCCCCGTCGCTCAGTCAGCGTTGAATTAGAGCCCGATCCTCGCTCTCTGGCACGCGGAATTCGGGAACTGTGACCTGATGACAAACTTCGATGCAGCTGCGAGTCCGAGAATCGCATGAGCGAAATGTTTTGTCTTCGCCCAGAACCCCTCGTCAGGCCATTTTCCAACGATATAATGCTGATGGGCACACCGAATGCATGCCGGATACGTAGTCTCCGCAGCTCAAATTGTAGAGAACATGCAAAGGTGGGTCGGTCTGCGACTCTCAACCGATCGGAACTCGCTCAATATTCTGTACCGGCATTCATCGCGAGAATGATGATACTACCGAGGCGATTGTTGGGCTGACTTGATAGTTCAAAATGCTCGCCAACATGATAAGAAGAAAACAATCATTCTGTCGGAAGAATCGCTTTCGGAATCGGCGAGTTCTCTTGATGGCCAAGCTCCTCGTGTATCTCTCTCCGACTGTGGTCTCAAGACGATTGATGTCTATTTCGCTTGGGGGGCGAGTAGACCTCTCCAACTCACTAGGAGACTCAAGCAGTCGATCCACTCGAAACCGAGGGAAGTGGACTCCATTGAATTCGTTTCGAGAAGAAAAATCATATCGGTCAATCCAAGAATGCTTATTTCATGGGATCGCTCGAATATACGCTGCCTCATCGCTGCCGGGTTAGGGCCATCGGATAAGCGGAGACAATCGATCGGACTTTCACTCTTCTGGTGACACGGCTTCACTGAACTCCGGTTCACGGCATGCGGGTAACGATGAGCTCCTCGCGGCGATGTTGTTGGCGGAATCCGGCGCTGGATTCCGAATGCACGAGGGAGAGAACCGAGATGCCGACGAAACCGGAGCTCACCCCCGCAGAAGTTCGAGCTCTCCGCCAAGAAAAAACCATTCCCCGCTCATTCCGAGACAGAATCATTTCTGCTCCGGATTTTCCGGAACGAGTGGCCCTCGGCATTCATCGCCGATGAATGCCAAGGGCCACTCGTCGGAAATACATACAGGGAGATATTTGGGGGACGGAGAGCACTGGCAAGAAGCGATTGCTTCCACAAATCCGGATTGGCATTGATCACGCGACCCGAGATCCGTCGGAAAGACCCAGCCTTCGTCTATGAGATGTCTACCGGCGAGTCCGATGATACCCCCCGGAGCCGCTTGGAACATCACTCTATCGTCTCAGAAAGGATGAGCAAAGAAGAAAGTCCCGCAGACGCCCCCCAATATCCGCCAGGAAGCGTGAATAAAATTGAAAAAAAAAATAGGGAGATTCCGCGCCGAGAACCCGATACGAGAAGCCTTCTCCTGAGGCTAGAGGGCAGGAATCTCGCATCGATTGACGAAATAGCAATGTCATGTGGTATCCTCTGACTTCCTCAAGGCTTGAGTTCCCTACGAGGAGCATTTCAAATCCTGCTTTCGAGCAAGGGGAATACCTGCCCGTGCATGGCTTACCTAGATGGCTCCCTCGAATCCGAGTCTTCCATGATAGATTCGGGAGCAAACCGGGGAGAGGATTTAAGCGAAATCTTTGCCGTATCTCGACCATTCCCACCGACTTCGCATTCTGGGGAGCCGCAGGTGATAATCCGCCTCGTGTTGACGATCACGTTCTGAGTGACAATCGATATCATCTCAGCCAGGTCGGGGGCGAGGGATTTTCAAAAAAGCTCTCGGAATGAGCCCGATGGCATTGTAGTCAACAATTTCTGTGCCACCACTCTTCTGAAGCACGATGACAATATCTGCTGCACTTAGCGAGCTGAGAGGGGTAATACGAAGGCTCGTGCGAATAAATAGCTGGCGGGTTGAATGAGGGAGATTTCCATCGTCCATGGATACCTGACGACAATCTGCTCCGGGCGACACCTTGACCGGCGAGTGAAGCGTTTTTGAATCCGCTATCACCCGGGAAAGACGGACGCCTAGAGGGCCGGAATCACAGTGTGTAGACTTTTCGGCGACAGCCGCGCCAGCTGCTGGTCCGAGGAAGGTCGATTGCGAGCGTTACGTCGCTCGTCTGACCGACAGCCGTGGACGATAGATACAGGACTAATCCCTAAAACTACAGATCTTGGACGGCCGCGAGATTCAATCGAGAATCCAAGAGGAGAATGATTGTGTGATTAAGGAGAAGTTCCCCGACTGATAGGTTTGAGCCATCAGCCAAAATTCTCGTAATAGATTTCAGACGACACTCAATATGAACGGCCGTTATCTCGAGTTTTTTTCTGCCCGCTTGAATGAGAATGACGATAGGAAGGATAATTAAGTATGTCAAGTTCGTTCGCCGGGAGGTCGAGCCGCTTGCGCGTGAATTGCATGTGGATGACTGCCATTTTCGTCATTCAGGAATTCTGCCTGACTCGATAAGAACCCGATATTCCGGTGGTGTGAATATTCAGATAAACTTCTGTTTCGTCTGTTCCCTAATGGCTCGCTAGCGAGTAGCGGCGCGGCGCTCGGTCACTAAGTGATCTGTGTGGTGATGGCCCGGCGAAGGGAACCCACTGTTCTCTGGGATCGGGACGCTCCAGCGAATTTCTTGGATGATCCGGTTTTCTTCACAAGCACTTCAAATGTTCACGCCTGCAAAAGTGTTTCAACAAGGAAGACAAACTCAGGGATTGACGATTCCCGTGAGCTGAAGCGTGGAACATAGCAGGTTGCGTCTTAATGACCACAAGCGATGATTATGTCTGCAAATCAGCAGAAATTGATACGGCGTCTCGCTCGTTTTCCGCCGCGGTCGCTTCTGCTTGCGGGCGGCCTCGCGCGCGAGGAGTCGCTAGAGCGGCGTTGGAAAACAATTCGATCCAATGATGACCAGGAGAGCACAACTCAAAAGTAACGGTGCGTCGAATTCCGTGGGCCCGGATTGGAAGACGATCGCATGAACAGAAGCGCCTGGGAGACTCGAGATCATCACGTGAAATGGAGCTTTCGCATCGAACGCTTGAGCAAGTCTGCCCACAGAATCGGATCGACGGAACGGAGCAGAACTATTAAGCCCGAAACTCCGAGAGGAGCATGACATGGGAGCAATCAGAGCCAAACCTCGGTCTCTCCGATCCTGAAGATGGCGGACTCGAAGCCTACGTTGGACACCTCATGACCTCCGATCCCGGAAACCTGGAATTTACGAAAATGGCGCGAGATCACCGCGCTCTGTCGGGCTCGGAACAGTCCCAGATCCAGCGTCGCATGAGCCCCCGTCCTCGAAATACGAATCGGGATTCTTCATATGAGATCATATTCATATATGAAGGTGGAACACTTCTGTGAACAGAAACATTTGGCGTCGGAATAGAAGTTGGAACCGCATTCCTATCACGGGGATATAGACTCCGTCGTCAGATCGCCAGTCCTTTTTCCGCAGAGTGCTCTGCATTCCACCCAAGAAGCTGAAGTGCTTCCAGGCCTCAAGTTGGTCAGACAGGGACAAGCCGGGAAGAATTCATTGGTAAAAACGAAAGTTCGGAAAGGGGAAAAACTTCCGGCACACAGCCTGTCCGCCTCGTCATCGCTGGGCCGGTTCGGAATTTCTCTTGCTGGGCTGCGGCTGGGGATTTTTGTGGCTAGTGCTCACTATCATACGGCGGGATCGTTTCTGCCACTTTGTTCTTTTCGGGTGAGCGAGTAAGTCTGTCCGTCCATTCGGCTTGTCCATGCGGAGAATCAAACGATAAACAGATGCCCCGCTGCTGCTGTTACCGAAAACACGAGCAAAGCGCTTCTTTCACGAAGAAGACGATCGCCACGAACATCGTCCAACGAGCGCCACGTTCGCGTCGGCCTCTTCATCCGATAATGGTCCGATCGGACGGTCGAAACAGCGGTCGAATATTTTGGGGATTTACATTTCATCCCCATCATCCGTACGAGCGGGAGCTGGTCGAGCCCCGGGACATTCCTGATGCACGCGGATACATTGGTCAAATAATGAGAATATTGATTCAAATATTTCCGCGAAGAAAAATTCTCGGCGATAGATAGTGAGAAACGTGTGTTCTTCGTCCTCCTATCGTCAGTCTGTGACTTCGCTCCATGCAAGCGATCGGACGGGTCGCGGTCGGCCTAGAATCGGAGGAGTCGTATCCACGAGTTTCTAACCTTGCCACTCGAGCTTGAGCGGCTGTCTTCCTCTCGATAATGAACCTTCCTCTGACAATGAACGACAACTCTATGTACAGCTCCCAGATGGCCGGGTCTGGATCGGATACGCCGCTGGAGTCACATTAAGTCCCAACATGCGGCACCAGCCGCTGTTTGTAAATGGAGGTAATGACTGCAATGGAGAGTTTAATTGCTACCGGCGAGTTTTTCGCCCATCGCACGGCGAACGATTCCCCCTCGGCGCTCAGCTCTTTTTCTGCTTTTCTGACGGCCTGGAGGGAACAACTCTGTCCTCTCCCTCATCGCAAAAACTGGAACCGTTCGAGAGCCCCCGGCAGTCGGTTTCAGAAAAAAAATGTGAGAGAGTTTCAGAGCCGTGCCGAAGCGCAACTGCAGCTAGAGGAAAGCGTGAGCTGGTGACGCTCACGGTCTCTCAAATACGAAAAAGACTATCGCGAATTTATCCGTTCCTCGGAGTCAGTCTCATTGCAAGTTTGAAGTTGAGGTCGTCATACCAAACGACCTCCTACGTGTAGGTCGTCATAATTCTTCGACCTAAGTCTCCCAATGATGTCCGTTTATAGTATACCGATAGAGGAATCCCTCCGCGCTCCCGGAGGTACAGAATCCAGCGTGAGATAGAACTTCCCATTGAAACTGATTTCGTTAGACGAGGGGTCGAAGATTGCGCTATCCTCCCATGATACTCATGCAAATGTCCGCCG